AGAAACAAAAGTTATTTTGTTTATCTTTTAAAATTTAAATTGTAAGCTACTTTATTATATTACTAGTTATTACTTGTGTCTGAAAGCACAGAGTAATAAAAAATGATAAATAATAAATATATTTGTATTCATATCTAAAAATAAATCGCAAACATAGAGAAGAGATAAAAAAATTTAAACATCAATTTATAGTGGGAGTGAGAGATTGAGAGATAGAAGGCGGTAATGGTGGTGGTAGGAGACAGTAATAGTTGTGGTGACGGTGGTGGTGGTGGTGGTAGTGACGGCGACGGCGGTGGTGGCGGCGGCGGCGGCAGCGACGGTAGTAGAGGTAGTGGTGGAGCGGTTCAAAATAATATTTTTTTTAAGTATTTATGAAAAATAATTCCTAAAAACACTTTTAAAAAATTACTCCACACACACCTTTATGAACTTATTTTTTCCTATTAAATTTAGAGATTTAATATTAACCGTTAGATTAATTTTAAAATAAAATTTAAAACGATCTCAACTGCGAATATTTGTTTATCTTTTGTAATTTAAATTGTAAACTACTTTATTATATAGATAGTAGTATAGATATTATGGTTAAATAAAAAAATTTCACTTTTGTTGACATTTTATAGTAATATAGATATTATGATTAAATAAAAAATTTTCACTTTTATTGACATTTTATAGTAGTATAGATAGATATAGACCAAGTCCTACCACCGTTACATGACAACAGGATTGTGTGATCCATCATACTTCTCGCTGCACACTGTCAGTGCAGAGAAACCTGGCAGGATCATAACATATTGATCTAGGAAGCTGTTTTAGGCCACTCATCCATAAAATGCAACTGCAGTAGCATACCCTTTCATAATGTGAATGTGTGTGCCTGTGTTAGTTTTTATGTGAGGGTGTGGTATGTGTGTTCAAACAACAGCTTCCACTGGGATGATACTAATTTATGCAAATAGATTTCATAATTCCTTGCCAATGATGACAAACTGTAGACGCACGAAGTTAATTATAAGCTCATAATTACTAAAAATTATAAGTTGTATTCAATCTCTAACAACAGATAATATGTACATACATCCTGATGGAACACATCTTTTCCAATCTCTATTGAATTATTAAACAGCTAGAAAAACTCCTTGGTCCTTTCTCCCCTTCTATATTATAGAGAACAAGAAACTAATCAAAAGCTACATAGAGAATACATACAAATTGGGTTAATAAATTAGCCCTAAATAGCATTACTCTTTTATCAATATATATATATATATATATGGATTGCCTTGCAACCTCTTTGAAAGTCACAACATATTATCGAGTCGATATCGTTATGTATGATAGACCAAAAATAAAAATGATCATTCTTGATAGACTTCAGTATAGGGAGAGTTATTCATCCATTCGAGGGAGTTACTTAAAATAACTCCCCATGGATAATTGCATTTATAATAATCTCAAACGTTGTTTCCACTACCGCAAAATAATTCACGTGCAACAACTAGTTGTGTAAAATGCGAAATTGAATTCCAAATTGATTCTAAAAAGGAAATCCATGTCTGTGAAGGATGGCTAAGCAAATAATATAGTGATCTAACACACTTGTAGGTGCAGAATGCTAGTGCAGACAAACCTTACAGCATCATAAAACATTACTGCCAGTGATTTTTCGAGCCGTTCTATGCTATAACTGGGGCAACTATTTGACCTGTCTAAAGGCACCCATATGTGTAGGGGTCTAAATCCTTTTTAGTAAACACTACACTTATGCAAAGTAATCTCATAATCCCCACGCTACTACAAAAACATATTTACACACAGTTATAGCTTATAATCACACTGTTCCATTTTCAATTGCTTTCAAACCAGAACACATCCTTCCACCACTACACGGCAACAGGATTGCGTGATCCATCATACTTCTTGCTTCACACAGTCAGTGTAGAGGAACCTGGCAGGATCATAACATATTGATCTACTAGGTCCTTCCGCCATTACACAGCAACAGGATTGTGTGATCCATCATACTTCTCCCTGAACAAGAAACCTGCCAGGATCATAACATATGGATCTAGAAAGCTGTTTTAGGCCACTCATCCCTAAAATGCAACTGCAGTAGCATACCCCTTCATAATGTGAATGTGTGTGCCTGTGTTGATTTATATGTGACTGTGGTGTGGTGTGTGGTGTGTGGTGTGTGCGTTCAGACAACAGCTTCCATTGAGATGATACTAATTTATGCAAATAGATTTCATAATTCCTTGCCAATGATGACACATTGTAGACACACAAGTGTTAATTAGAAGCTCATAATTAATAAAAATGATCAAGATCTTTTTTTTAAGGTAACATCTGGACATGACATCAAAGCGGCCTTAATTCATCAAGATGTAAGATACGTGCAGATTCAAATCCCATTGTTTGTGGTGTGCACTAAGAAGTTGTATTCAATCTCTAACAACAGATAATACATAAATAAAGCGTATATACCAGTGTTATTTAAGGCGTAAAGCGAACCGAAGCGACCAAGGCTCCTAACGCCTAGGCGAGAAGCGAGAAGCGAAGCGACACGCTTTACCGAAGCAAAGCGAACAGTTAAAAAAAATATATATTTTAGTTTAATTACTTCTAAACAATCTAAGTTCTAATTTTATATATACTAAATATTTAAATGCAAGTAAAACCATAAACATTTAAATTAAAAAAAATACTAATAATATCTCAAATCTTAATAACAGTCATAACTTAAACATTTAAATTCAAACAAATACTAACAATTGTATACATTTTCATATTGACAGGGTAGGACAACAAAAGAAGCAGAATCAGGACAACAACAGAATTAGCAACAAAAAAAAAAAAAGTAGAATGAGGATAAAAAAAAATAAAAGCAACACAGGACAGCAAAACCGAAGCAGCAACAGAATCAACAAAAAAAAATAGAAGCATAATGAGTTAAAAAAAAAAACAGAAGCACAATGATCATGACAGGAGCAGAATCAATTGTAAACAATTTCATATGTAATTATATATTGAATAAAAAAAAGCAGAACAGAGGCACATTTCACATGTACTAAAATAATTAAACATGGTATAAGCATAGACCACTTTTTGGTACCATTTGTATATATATAAGAATAGGAAAAAGTATAACCAAGACATATCAGAGACACTTATTTGTAGAAGAATCTATTATTTACCCCCATTTCTGATACTCATGCTTCTTTTTTTTATCATAATTGTCATGCAGTGCAGTCGCCTGACTCCCACATTCCACAAATATTCTAAATGAATTCAGCAACACAAGGAAAAAAAAGGAATGTATTTTGTTCGAAACATTGTTTATTAAAAAAAAAAAAAATAGACCAGCAATAGTCTAAAAAAAAAGTCATTAGTGATTAAAAAATAAAAGACACTACTAACCTGTAATCAAAAAAAAAAAAAAAAAAAAAAAAAAAAAGTTGAAGCAGAATCGCTTTTTATAATAAAGCGTTCTCTTTTTCGTTTTTTTCGCTTCTTCGCTTTTTCGCTTTTTCTCGCTTCACTTACGTTCGCTTCGCCTGGGGTCCTCCAGGCGAGATAAGCTCGCCTCGCCTCGCTTCTCGCCTAGGCGAGCGCCTAGGCGAGCTTTTCAAAACACTGGTATATACAATGCCTTCCAACCAAAATCAGTATCCAACTCTACCAAAAAGGAGGCATCCAGGCTAGACACATCTGGCACTGCTGGATCAGATCGAAAAATGACTTCCGCCCAATAGTATTTTCAGCGAAAGCCAGTCAACGGTTGCGTCAAAGCCTTCTAGTTCTTTAAGAAATCAAAGTGATCATTTGGTGGGATATGACATAGAAAATAGGACATTTTGTCATGTTATGTGTTATTTTAAGAAGTATTTTTGTACTTTGTGATTATGCATAAAAGTTGGGTGTAACTATGTAATCTAACACACTAGTCTCTTCTCATATTTTTCTCTTTTTGTTCTCTTATCCAAAATCTTCACAATCTAACTTGTATCAGAGCATCCATCAAATCTAACGTTTCAAAGTGGTCGGAATTCATCAGCAATCACATCTCGCCACCAACAGTGGACATTGTCAGATTCTGACATGCTGACATCAGAATCTGACATTCTGTCAACAATTGACCATGTCAGAATTTTTCGAAATTCACAGGATAGCTCCACCTCTTATTGCTGAATATTATAGTAATTTTTCTGAAATTTTTTGAAGTGATCTGAATGGTCTTTTGAATTTTTGAAACATTTTAGGGGGGATTTTCGTTTTTTTCTCAGATTTGCAATTTCTGAGTTTTCTGGGGGCTATATCTGAGCCAAATCAGTTTGAATGGGAGCGACTAGGGCTTGTGAGTAATGCCCAGTCACCTATGTTTAATTTGGATTGGTTTTGAGCAATTTTTGAGCATTCGGCAATAGCTTTTTGGCTGGTCCAGTGAGTTTTCTGGTTTCAATTTGGGCCATAGAGAATACTTGACCCTTGTTCTACATTCTTGGCTTCGGTTTGCTGCAGTTGGATTGATTTGAGCTTTTTTGGACATTTTTTATTGTCAGCAGTAGCTATTTGATCTGTCTAGTGAGATTTTTGTCTTCAATTTGGGTAACAGAAGATACTGGACCCTTGTTGTACCTACTTGGAATATTCAGCTACTACTGGAGTATTTTTCTTTTTTTGGGGAGTGATTTCTTGTGATTTTTAGGACCTTTTTTGATTGATGCTATTTTTGCTTAATCCTACTCTAAGGTGCGACTGGAGAAATATATTTAGCCACTGTAGAGGCCTTTCTTCAGGTTAAGGCATATTACTTGAGTTGCATTGACTTATTGCCATTGTGATTGTTTGACCTCATTGTGTGGACATGTAGAAAGGGAGTGTAGCCTTTAGTAATTTCATTCACTCACGATAATAATCCTTCATAGGCAAAAACATTACCACAAACAAATTAGAAAGCAGCTCAAAATAGATAAAACTGGCTATCCATAGAACTAGTAGCAGAAGAAATGAACCTTTTCATGACCCCCATCTTCTAATCCATCTATTTGGTCATCCTCTCCTTTTTCCTCCTCAAAATCGTCTTCTAGTGCACTTAATCTTGGTTCCAGTGAACCAATGGCTTCAAGAGTCCATCTAGAAGTATGTAATATGTAAGCATAAGAAACTACACTGAAATTTAAAAAGCAATGGAAAAAATCACAATATGAAAAGAAATCACGGAAGACATACTTACCAACTGAAAAGGAAAATGAGAGAGAATCCACCAAACAATTAGTAGAACAATTATGAATGAGTCAGAAAAATTCAAACCAAGTCAATCCACTTTTACAAGAACTGGGGGGCTCCTTCATACGCAAGTGTATTTGGGTTCAATATCAAAACTTGGGCCAAGTCCAGATCCAAAAAGGATCAGGATAGGAGTTCCAGATCCGATTAGCTAATTAGGATCCAAATACTCTTATTTAGCACGCTAGATATGGATAGGTTGTTCCAATACGATGAGGAGCTGATCCCAATTTATTTTTAAAAAATATGTGATAATTAATACAACATATATCAATACGTGCAATGGATATAGTATAAGATGAAGTTATAGTTACCAGAATTCACTAAACTCTTAACAACCCGCGATCTGGGTACATCAATCTCAAATAGTTGACGTTCGCGATCTAAATCACCAAAATATACGACCCCATATTCTAAAACTAACCATAGATCCATTCACTTCGGATCATGTAGTACAAATATAAAATACATATTAATTAATTGTGTACATATATTTATAATTATATTACTAAAAAATCGAACAAAAAATGTAAGATAAATGGTAACTGACTTGATTTTTATAGATGTTTTATAATATATAATGTTTATAGTAGTGAGACGATCTAAATAAGAGTTCGAAAACAAATCATGACCCGCAATACCATACCAGTTAAGTTTACCATTGATGTCCTAAAGAAAGTAACATACCACATACCCGTACATGTACTACGTACCACAACGACCCACAATCCACGTAGCATTATAAACAGCACACATGATATTTATTACTATGTATCGATTTGATTGGATTGGATCAGATATCCAATTAAAAACAACTTTGGATTTGAATACATTCCCGGTAGTTACCATAGACCTATCAATATCTTAACAAACACTAGTCATCTCAACAGATTTTTCTCTCAAAATCTTCTGCTAAATTCATCATAAACATCACACACTCATGCTACACCAGAATACCATGCACGCACAATGCATGCTGAGGGAAGAAACATGGCAATAACAATTTGGGAGGCCTGATGGAGCATAATGAGCTTTGAAACAGAATCATCAATTATCAAAAGAGAGCCTCGAGTTCGCAAATAACAGAATTGGCCACCAAAAAAAAAAAAATTAGAAAAAAGAAAACTTCAATACCCCTTTTGCAAGCCTAGCCAAAGTGCTACTAATGTACAGCTTGCTGAATTTGGAGCAGCACAAAATCGCATCTACGATATGCACTCGTGACTATTAGTCAAACAGTCAAATATATAGCCCATACAAGCAATCTTTTGAGGGAAAGCAGAAAATCTAGCAATGAACAAATGTCACCAAAGACAAGATTTTTACTGAAACAAAAGCAATAGTGTATATAAATGTAAGAGATGATACAGATTCAAGAGAAAATTATACACAAATCATACAAGGAAAATTCTAGCAATCTAAATTACAAAAAGCAAGAGGCTTACAAAGGAATAATCTTTTGTCAAAAGTTCGCTGATAACTTCATCCACGTGTCAAAGTGAAGTCTGAAACAATAAAAAGCAAAATTGTAATAACGATCAACAGGTAAAAGAGTTGGTTCAAAACTGGAACAGGTTTCAAAAAATATAATTCCAAAAGGTCAAAAATCTTAGAGCCATCAGCTGATTTCCACCTTAATTTTCGATAGTCATTGTATACAGACTCCAAGTAACGGTACACATCACTATCTATCCCTGTAAGATGCAAATAAAAAGCACCAAGCATACGAACATATCTACTCAGAAAATACAAATGTTAAGATTAATTTGAGAAATGAAAGCAAAGATAGCATTAAGCCAGTTCCACCAGTGCAAAATATCACCACCAAACATGAATAACCACCAGCAAAACGGAATTATCAAAATAAGGATGTAAAATCGCGTTAAAAAATTTGCCATCATAAAAAACACAATAAGACTTTGGATACCGAGTTTTATGTTCTTTACTGGGGAGGAACTTCAGAAAACTTGCACGTCCAAAATTATAGTATATCTATGAATCAAAGGCTGGCAATAGACAACCTAATAAAATTCGGTACAAATGTTTATCTGCAAGCTCATAAATCATGACAGCAATTTTCTGAACTTTAAACATGGGTATGCCGCAAGAATATGATTCCATTTGCAACTTTCTTTTCTCTATTATTGTTGTTGATGTGACACAGTTTCGTAAAGGGAAAAAAAAAAAGGCAGCATACATATCTATGGAATTTTTACAGTAGTTTTTAAAAATAAGTTCCCTGTATTTTCAATAGTATAGGAGATTTGATTGTGTCCAAGAGTTGGATTGAAGGTCTCATTATAATTTTGATAGATTTTTAGGGTTTTGTAGATGCTATAAAAGAGCCTCAAACCTATCACATGACAAGCAGCCTTCAAGAAAAAAAATTCATAAGATGTATGTAGATTCTCTCTCTCTCTCTCTCCATCCTTATTCCTCTTCATCTTGTTCTGAATCTTCTTACCTTTGGTTCCCTATTCTCTAGTCAATATTTTATCTATTATCACAGTCTATCTTTCATCTCTTCTGCCCAATTGTTTCTACCATTTCTTCTCCTTTAGGGTGTCTCTCATAGATCCTTAAGAGTTTTTCCCGCTATTTTCTTCTTTTTCAGAGTTTCTGTACCTATCCCGTAGCTCCATATCGTCTTCTCCTCTCTAAAAATCTTTTCCTTTTGTTATCCATCAAGACAGAAAAACTAAAAACCATAATTCAAGCCAAGTTATTGTATTTTTGTACCCATCCTGCAAAGTTAGAAGCATAACCTAGGCTAACGGGTGTGAAAATAAAAATTTGATCCAAGTTACATCAGTTATCTTTCTTCTCCATGTAGCAAATCAAAACTTAAACATCATAAGTCTCTACTTCAGCTGACTCTAGCTTATTTGATTCAATATTGGACTCGTGCAACCACTCAAATGAGATGAGATAAATTCAAACTGTTGGCTACAAATATATCATAGACAAAGCCTTAAATCAATAGGCAGGAAAACAATGAAGAAAAAAAAACACATTCTACAAATGTGAATATTCGGCTTCACAAACCTATTTCATATTAAGAAGGAACATTAATCAATATGCAAAAAATATATTAAGTCAGGGAAACAATTAACGAAAAAAAAAAACTAGAATGTGAATATCTGGCTTCACAAACCTAATTCATATTAAAAGAAGGAAACATTAACCAATCTGTACAAGTTAGATTAAGCACTGCATTAGTCTAATGCTCCGTTTGGTAGGAATGATGAAAAGTAGGAAATATTGAAAGGAGGAGGGATACACTTTCTATCCTTCAAAGATGGAAAGTATAAATGATACACTTTCCTTTCTTTATGTTTGGTTGGATGGATGAAAAATAAAAATGAATAATTTTTTTTTGTACTGACTAAAATTAAGGGTAACAATTGAATCGTGTCGTGTTAGATTCGTGTTGAATCATAAAATTATGAGCCTTTTATATTTTTTGATCGCGTGTTAAGTCACTTTCAAGTTCGCGTCGAGTTATAATCAAGTTCGCGTCGAGTTATAATCAAGTTCATGTCATAAAATTCGTGTCTAGTTCAAGTCGTGTCATCGTGTTAAGTCGAAAACTTTCATCCTTAATTAAGATGAAAAAAATATATATTTTTTAATTTAAAATTTTTATTTTTATTAAATATATATATATATAAGTACATATGTTATCATTATATTTTTATATAAAATTAATGTATACATAATATATGTATATAATAAAAGATATATAGACAAATAAGATACATCTCAACATAAATAATTAACTTTTTATCCACTTTCCTTCTGATTTGGGAGTAATTGATTTTGGCGAGTTTGAAAGAAAGTCAATCCATCCACTTTTTCATCCTTCCTATTTTCTTTTCTTACCAAACATGATATATTATTTATCCGTCCAACTTTTCGTCCTTCCATTTTTCCATCGTACCAAACGTAGCATAAAGAATAAATTATTTCAGAAATTTAAAAACAGAGTCACTTACCAAAGAAAATGATACATTGCACATAAATGAATTACCCAGGACAATCCAAGGACAACTTCATTTTTTGGCTTTTTTATTTTTTCCTTCTTTTTAGGGAGGGTTACTATTTCAAAACCCAAATTCGGTAGAAAGAGAAAGATAACTTACAAAACAAATGCACATATCTCTAATCTATTCTTCAAGAAAACAACAGTTTCGGCCAGATTAAATTGCTAATTTCTCTGACCGTCATACACACAAACCCACCTTGTCCTCCTATACATACAAAATAATATTTGCTAGCGGTTGACATGTAATAAACGAGAAAAATTATTATAATCAACTAAACATGTGCACAAACACCTGTAAATAGAAGAGAAAACAAATATTTCTTGAAAGAATCGACAGTTAACACAGACTGACTTGTAGTCTTCGTTCTTGATGAACTCGACAACGATGTCCTTCTCGGGCTGGATCTGGAGCATCTTCATGACCTGGCACATGAACGGCGTGGGCTTCCGATTCCCGCCGAAGGTCCCACCCAGGTGGTCCAGCCCCATGGCTTTGTCGACAGCGTCTCGGCAGTGAGACCGAAGCACTGCTCCTTCCAGTATGTGTGTTTGTGTATCTCGGACTTCAGAATATTCTCCACCAGGTTCTGTGGGTTCGTCCCCCTTATGCTCTCCGCCGCCGAGTCCGTACGGTTCGCCATGGGTATGTATACGCACGCATATATTCGAGGCATTTTCAGAAACCCTAAGCCTACCACGTTGAGGGGGAGAGAGAGGGATTTTGAGCTAGAGCTCAATTGCTCACGGAAGGTTCAAGGACTTACGGATAGAATTAAAAGGTTCGGGTCGGTCATGCTGGAAAACCTTCATCCACACCTAGGCGTGTCCACGGTCTGATTGTCTCCTTGTCTGGTTATTCGGCCCAAAAAAAAAGAAGGCTAAAATTCGAACGTCCGATAATTAGACTGTTAGAGTTCGAATGTAATATTTTTTAAGGGAGGCTTGTGCTTATTCCAAATCTATTACCTAGCCCAAAAATCAACCCAATAACCCACCGATAAAAAGTTTGTTAAAACCCGACCTAATATCTCACCTACCCGCCTAACCCCGTCAAAATATTGAAATAAGTCTCCAATGTTGAAATTCAAAGTTTTAAAAATTTAAATATTATAAATAATGTATTCTTTTCTTTTGCATGTATTAAACATAAACGATTTAAAGAACAAAGTTGGGCAAATAATTTATAGGTGGGTAGGTGTCAACTTAGTTGGAATGTACTTATTCTATTGTAATGCAATTCCTCCCTTATTTATAAATAAAATATTCATTATTTACTTTTTCTCTATTTTGATTCTACTTTTAATTCAAAAATGTAATTTATAAAAACATTAAGTTACAAAAATATTTATAATTTCTAAATGAAATTGTATATAAAAAGTTTATCTAGTAGGCTCTCCCAACAGGCCCATAGGCCCAAGCCAGCAAGCCCGCCCGCCCAATGAGTGGCGAGTTGGGCTACGGATAGCCTACTCTTATCCCAAGCCCGACTCCGCCAGTCCGAAAACTCATCCGAGTATGAGCTTAGGCTTACCCTACCCAAGCCCAACCTAAAATAAATTACTCGGGTCAAGCCTTGTGTGGCCCATAGAGACCCCTATCCACACCTCTCTAATTAGGGCCAATGTAAAAAGCATTAAATGCTTTTATTTTTTGGTTTTTATGTGTGGATATATTTTTTAATACTTATTGGAGAGAAAGTATATTGATAAGTTTTTTTGTTCTATTAAATACATTTTTACTTAAATTTCTTATTATTGGATACACAATTCAGTTTACCTTTTATTTATACTACTTATTTACCCTTCCTTAAATAATGAATAATTGACTGACAGTTATTTTCTAATCAAATATGTAAAGATTTGATTAGATTTTATCATTCATTTTAACATTTATTCATATTCTCTCACTCGCACTCTCTCTCTCCCTTATTTTCTAACTCTTTCTCTCACTATCTCTCCCCTTATTTTCTCACTCCACCAT